CAGAAGGCGACAAGGTCAACACGGAGGTCTACATCGGAAATTTTAAGTAAATATATTCTTCCGTGGATCAAAGAACAGTATGGTTCGAAGCCAAATGTTGTATTTCAACAAGATGGGGCTCCGTGCCACACCTCGAACCGCACTCAGAAGTGGTTGCAGGAACATCTTCCGTTCTGGGCGAAGAATGTGTGGCCGCCATCCAGTCCCGATCTTAATCCGCTGGATTACTCAATATGGCGTGTCATGAAGGCCAAGGCCTGTTCTAAACGCCACCCGAGTACAGCAAGCCTCAGACAAACATTGACCCGTACCTGGAGAGAAATGGATCCAGACTACATTATTAGAACCTGCCGTGCATTCCGGAATCGTGTGGAGGCCGCAAGTGGAAACTCGATCGATGATTAACATAGTTTAAGACTCTGAGAAACATCCCCCCTTTGAATAAATAAGAAACTCGAAAACGAAATTTACGAAAATGAAAGATCCTACTAAGAATACGATTGAGTCCTGACACTCTTAGAAGAATTACAAGGGAGTAGTGGGGAGAACTTCAAGGAGAATTCCTAGGTGATTCTGATGAGAATTGTTTGAGGATTGTGAGGGGGTTTTCTGATAATAATTTCAAAGGAATACTGAACAAGATTCACAAAACAACTTTAAGCAAGATCCGAGAAAAATGTTGAAGAAATCGTGTTCTGAGGTAAATAAAGAAAAATGCTGAAAAATTTTAATCAAATTATTATGAAAGTTTCCCGAAAATTCAGAGCAGAATTCCAAGGTAATCTGAGGAGAATTCCAATGGACTTCTGAGGAGAGCTATGCGAAAGGTCAAATAATTTCAAAGGTTAAAACCGAAAACTCGGTTAAAAGTTGAATTAACCATATTTGAGCTGAAGAAACATATGTTCGCTTGATTAAGCTCAAACTGTTATTCAATTTTAAGAATGAGTTTTATTAACATATTTGTAACTTGAATTCAATTTATAATAGGATGGATTTTCACATAATATAATTTGAGGTACTAGATTCTGGGAATGGTTTAAGATTCAATAATTAAGAATGAAAAAAAGAATAATAACCGATAATCGAGTCCGACCTGGTATCTATAATTTCAACTTGCTACACAGCCGAAACTCTTATAAAACGCTATCTAATTGGCTAAGGCTTCAAAATTTAGGTTAATTATGCTATCAAAAAAATGTATCTGCTCTAATTTGTTGATTTGTTGACTCGAGCTTCAATTTGAGTGAATCGGTGACGTTAATTTTAGAATTTGAATCGTTTGCTTTGTTTAGACTACGCAGCTATATCGTGTTGTAAGCAGGCATGGAAAATCATTTGCATTCATTTCATACATTCATTTACATTCATTTGCCTCTAACTTTTTTCATCAACAGCATTCCGCAAAATGATGTATAGAGCTTTTGTAGGATTTGTTATGAGCTACATCTTTAGCTCATAACTTAAATCTGTATCTCTTATGCATCACAAAATAGAGCGGGCAGAAATTTTTACTGTTTTCAGTGAATGTAAAATACATTCACTTAAAAACAGTAGTGGCTTCTGTTCGCTCTGGTTCGTCATGCATAAGAGATACGGATTTGACTTGTTAACAAAAGTTGTAGCTTATAACAAAACCTACAAAAGCTCTTTACATCATATTGCGGAATGAAATAGTTAGAGGCAAATGAATGTAAATGAATGCACGAAATGAATGCAAATGATTTTCCATGCCTGGTTGTATCCAGGCTAACTTGATGATGCACTGAAAATAATATTTAGTTTATATAACGAAATCGTTCGTTTGATTCACGAATCCATTCGTTGTTATCGGCTACGGAATAGATTCGTACATTGTATGAACCTAGTTTCATTGAAAATACCACACTCGCTACTGATTGTGATTGAATGATTCGTAAAATAAATACGAATGTTTCGTGTGTATGGAAAAAAGTACGAAAGATTCGTATACTCCAAAAAGTAAATGCGCATTGACGTAACTAATGGAGGTGCCAGGGGGATCAAGCCCCCTCCAGAATATTTGGTGTTTGTTTTTGACTCACCGGTATTTTGTCACGCTTGTTAAGTTCAATGCTACTATTTAACACTGATTAATAAAATTGGACCACCAACAAAGATTTTTTAAAGTCCTTAATGTTGATTACTTTTGTTATGTTCTGGACTAGAAATTTTTTTTTGAGAAATTATATTATATCAAATCGATGGCAATAAGACGTCTTCAGGCTCTACACATTGACCATGAGCCCAGGAATTTTTCTTTAACTTGAGGAAACTTCGTAAAACTACAAACAGAAGTTCACGGAAAATCGTAGGAATTAAGTAAACTTGGTAGAAATTCTGGGAAATTCATCGACCTTCAGAAAAATTCGTAGAAAAAGGAACTTGGAAAAGTTTGGAAAACTGCGTAGAAGTAGAGAATTCATTTAAATTTGAGGAGCTTCGTTGAAGTTAAAGGAACATTATTTTATTTTAGGGAAGCTCTTTATTGATATGAAGATTTTCGAATTTCGTAGCATTCTGAGGAGCTGCGAAAAACTTCATATGAGTGTAAGGAATTTTGAAAAAGTTCAGGGAATTTTTTAAAATATCTAAACATAGTTCAAAAAACTTCTAAGAACTTCAGGGATCTTCGCTTCAGTTTAGGGAACTTCGTTGCAGTTTTTCAGAGATCTTACACCAAAAAAGCTCCATGAACTTCTTGGAGGTTATGGGAACTTCGCTAAATTCAAGGAATTTTCTAAGTGTTCAAGAATATTTTTAGATGTCATAGGTGTCTTTCCAGAAGTGCAAAGATTTTCATAGGTCTTTGTAGAATTTAAAGAAATGGAAAAAAATATGGAATTTGGAATAAATTCAGGGAATTTCGTAGAAGTTGAGGAAATTTAGTAAAACCTAAGTTTTGTAGATTTTTCTCTAGACATCCGGAAATATTCGAAAGACCTCCATATAGTCCAAGATATTAGTAAAGTTCACTGGATATTTGGTAGGTTGTAGGCTGACCCTACAGGTAAATTTTCTAGCTACGCCAATGTAAATGCGTGCATTTTACGAAAATTATACAAAGAGCAATGCAAATTTTGTAACTGTATTTCTGGTTATCGTTGCATGTAGGAAGGCATTTTGTACGAACGTACCTCTTCTGCTTGTTTCCAGCTATTCATTGAATTAATATTCTGGCCCTCCGTATTATCGTCGAGGGCAAAATCAGACAAATATCAATCAATTTATCACTTTACATATTAGGCGGCCAGCCACTTTTGCCGTGCTTAGTAATTTCCCTCTGGTCCTCCATTTAAATGCCACTTCCAACCATCACTTCACTGCCATCAGCAACAGGAGCAACAGAAATTTGAATGAGCGAGAGGAAGGTGAGAAGAGTAACAATGTGCTGTTCTACACGAAATTTAGTTCGTGTATTATACAAATAAAATGTAATATTAGCATTGTGTCAGAGGATAGGCAATACGAATGTTTCGTACATTTTACGAAAAATATGTTTTATCTACGAAAACTAGTTTAACGAAACGGGCGTAAGAGAATTAACGAACTCCTACAAAACGAGGGGTGTTCAAGTTTTTTAAGTGGACGATTAAAAAAAAAATACACAAAATTTTAGTCGACCAATTTTTGACCGTTCCACCCTTTACCCCTCAAGAAATTGCAGCCCTCTGTCACTAGACCCACCTAACAAATCGAATTCGTTAGTTGGGTCGAGGTGGTAGCCCAACCAGTGAATTTCGACTGCATTACAAACCAGTAAAAATGTGAACTATTAGAGGTATAACATTGGTTTTGTATTAAATTGTTATCCCTTTCCAGGAAGCATCCGGTTGTGTCCAATATGGTCCTGAGGTAATCAATACGACCGCCACTGCTCTTGCCTTTCGATACACACGTGATTTTATGTGTCATGATGAGTTTTAGCTAATATCAGACTCTGGTAATTTCCCCGAAAAAATAGGTTAAATGTTCTATTTTACTCCTCACGCTGATTCTTGAAAATTTCTCATTCCAATGAAATCGGATTCATGAAAAAAATCACTCATTTAAGTGAACTGCGATAAAAACTGTCCGGTGTCTGGCTCACTACCCAAGTATGCAGTTCGGACCAGGACATTTTTCGGATTGGATATTTTCGCGACTTCCCTGAACATAGAATATCATTGTGCTTGCCGCCACACAATATACAAATTCATGCATTGGTTGGCATAGAAAGCTCTCAATTAATAACCGTGGAAGTGCATCTGGAATACAGTTGATGGGGTGAGAAGCAGTCACACTTACCACTACACCACCGGCGCCGGCTTGGAAATATGTTAGTGGGGAGGGTAAAGGTTAGGATACGTTCAGTAAGCGTTGCTGACAGAATTGCAATGGGGATAGAATAATAATGAATAGTGACACAAATTGAAAGGAAGGGGACGAAGGATTGAACTTCCGACCTTCTTCACAGTAAGCAGAAACGGGTACCATTAAGCTACCGAGCCCGAGCCATTTGTGAATTCTATCAACCTTGTCCTTAAATAAAGGAAAAGAAGTTACAGAGTAGTACCGTTGTACTTATTTAATCTAGTACGTCGATTGCGGTGCTAGATTAAAGGAGTACCTACAGTGGTAATGTATATCTGTACAAGGTATTAACTGCTTTTCTCTGTATCATTTTGTATCGAAGACTTCAATTAAATTTTGAGTAATATCTGTGACAGACATGATTGTAGTACCGGGTTGTACTCCTTTAGTCTAGCACCACAATCGACGTATTAGATTAAAGAAGTACAACGTTAGTACAGCCATATCTGCCATAGGTATAACGCCGGCTTGCTCGCGAAACCATGGAGCTCCATGGTAGTTTTCCTTCCCATTACTTATCCACAATTCACCAACCGTCCACATCAGGTTGTACCACAGTTGATCGAAAATTCCTACCCAGATGTCTTTTGAATACACAATTAGCCAGTTCCCATTCTGTGTTGACTTACCTGGGTGGGTGTGAGATGTATTAAACTGGCTAGGTGCTCCCGTTCGGGCGCTGACAGGTACTTTTGTTGCTTGAATCTTCGCTCCAGCTCGTAAACCTGCAACAGAGAACGGAGAATGAGACTGTGCTTCAGCCAAAAGACAAAATAGGTTGAACGTTAATAAAATTGAAATTAAATTCCATCCTTCTGCGTGGACGGAATGGCGGATGAGGTTAGGTTAGAACCAATAATGGAGCAACCAGAGTCGGTCCGGTCCGTCGTTGTCGTCGTCGTGTAGAATAAACTCATTTCGTTCCGTTCGTCTGGTGATGTGCCATTGTCGTTTCGTTCGTTGCATTTGGATGTGGTATTTGTGTGTCAATAGGGACCTGCCTTAGCTACGGCTCACAACCAATACCAATATGGCCACCGCGTGCCTCTGGCTCTGCATCAAGAGCAAGCAGTAACGTTTCTGGTTCCTTTCTTGCTATATTAGTTTGTTGATGAAACTTGGCATTTCAACTCAAGTGCTTTGTAAATAGATATTCCCAAGCGAGTGTATTTTTTTCGGACCAACTTTTTGTTTATATAAATGTTTCTTGGTCCCTCCGGTGTGTCACAGCTTTCCGCAGGGTTCCCTTCCAAAGGAAAAAGGATTCCTTTCCCGAAATACGGTAGCTGGTTAGGGATGCAATGGGGTCAGGAGAAACGCTCTGCTGCTACTGTAGACTTTCTCGTGTGTATGTAATGTTATTTTATTTATACTTTATGTAATAATAATAACAATAATCCATTTTCCAACATGCTCTCCAGTCTGCACATAAATAGCGGCAGCTTTCGGATGCGATGGTAAATTTAATCCACCATCTCGTCGTCGACCTCGTCATTTTGGCATGGCTTAACGTAGTCGTTGGCAAGGCAAACCGTCCGTCCGCCACGTCCGTCGTCCCGGCTGGATGCTGTGTGCTGTGCAAATAAATCATCATCATCGTCATCGTCGTCGTCATCATCGTCGTCGTAGCCGTCGTCATCACCATAAATAATGAAAACTTGGCTGAACCCGACGGCGCTGGGGTATTGTCGAGTAGCGAATATTCCTGACATTGATGCTGGCAAGCAGCCCTCCCCCTTACCAAGATAGATGAGAGACAGATTTACGAGGATTTAATATGACCAAACATTTCAAACGATATGATGAACTGAAGGGAGGTGACCTATGAAATTTAATTCCATAATGAAACAATCTAAAATGTCAAGTAATTATCTGGGGAAGGGAATTAATTGAATTTTGATGAATTGACTATACGGAGATGACGATGGTCGCTGTGTGGTGGTGGAGGATGATGTTTACCAAGAGCTGACAGGGACTAACAAATGAAAGTATGTGCAAACACGGCTCCCTCGAGTTAGAGCTCAGCCAGTTTCAAATGGAACTCAAGGTCGTTGGCTCGAAGCGGTAGTACCTAATAGTAGTACAGCCTCACTTTCGGTAGAAATAAAACACGTGGCGGGATGAGGCAAGAGGGACCCAGTGCGTTCTTGTTGTTTTTATGGCTTCGATTATTAATCAACCACCTTTTAACAACTGTCAACATCTTAGCTTCTGGAAATTGACGAACTCGGCAACCAAAACGACGGCAACGACGGAACCGAACTGACGAACGAGACGTGCTATTGTTTAAATATTTGCTTCGTTTTAATTTTAAGTGGATGTCACCCTGGCTGGTGCGCGTGAGCAAACGCGGTGCTTCTGCTGCCGAAAAACGAAAACAAAGACGGAATGTTTTCGAAGTTATTTCTTCTTGAATGTTCAAAGTATTTTTTTTGTCCTGATTCATCTTCTAGTTATGAATCCATGTTACTGGTTACACTGTGGGACACGACTTTCTAGGACAGGAAAATTTTACCATATTTAGCTTTCTTATGGTCGCCGGAGTAAAACGCTAGAATATAATTTTGCTCTATCGCGTCACACCGCACATTTCATAACGCTGCACCACTATACAGGCGTGTATGAGACCAGCGAGAGTCTCTGCATCTTGAAAGACACCGTAAGTATCAGAAATATCACCTAAATAGTTAGTGAAATATCGAGATAGCGTTTTCAAATCATCCTTGAGCCATTTTTCTTACTTATTGCCTTTGCGCAATAATACCCGAGCAGGAACCGATAACTAACCGATAACATATGAATATCTTAATGTGGTATGATACATTATGTTGGTTTGCTTGTGGTATAAAGCTTTGCTTGATATTATTCAGTTATCGAAATATTTTATAAAATGTCAAATAAATATCAAAATAACAAAACATTATTTTCAGTTTTTAGACAATAAGAGCTGAAAGAGTTATTGGATTGGTATTAGAATACCTTACAAATAACAAATTATGGTATTCTGGCATCAAAAAAGCGTCTGTTATCCGTCAGTTATTATAATAACTACACGCAGAGAAATGATTTTTAAATTCAAATGGATATATTTTTGACCAGGGCCTAATATATTATTGGTATTGATTCAAATATATTATTCGGTTGATTAAAAAAAAAATATTTTTGAATCCTCAAACCGGTTGTAGAGTCAATAATCTGTTTGTTGATTTTATAAACCATTTTTTTTATTAAAAAATATGTTTTGTTGAAATAGTGATACAATATGATTGAATCAATAAAAAAGTACATTGGGCCCTGAAACAACAATCAATTTTTCTGCGTGTAAATTATTTATTAGTTCGTTATTCGTAGAACTTTTTTGAGGTATTATTTTTAGTATTTTACCTCTTATGTCAGGCACGTCAATACCATATTCAGGTTGCCAGGTATGCTATTATCATACCTGAATTTGAGATTCATAAGTTATTTTCTCCTGCTCGGGTAGTGCCACATCCCGAGCAGGAACCGATAGCTAATCGATAACAAATGAATCTCTTAATGTGGTATGATACCAGATTTCGGTATGCTTGTGGTATAAAACCTTGTTTTGATATTATTATTCAGTTATCGAAATATTTTGTAAAATATCAAATTAATTCATAAAAAGCATTTCAACGTTTTTTGAAAATGTGATGAAATAATACATTTAGCTAGTGCTTATTCATATCCCCCAACGATTTGAGATGAACCAGCTGTGTTGTCAAAATCGAAATCCCGCTGTAATGCAGTTTTGGTACCTAACGGGTGTTCAACAAAAAATGAGAATGATTTCAGTGCCGTCCAGCGCTCTTGTGAGAGCATCGCGACTAATTTGCGTCGTACAGCTGACCAGGGCCCCTTCTCCAATATTCATCGACGTTTTTTTTGAAGAATAAACATTATGTTTTTAATAAAAAATACTGAATTCGTTGAAAAAAGATTTTTTTTTATCGACCCATCAACTCTTGAATCGGGGACCAATGGCTTTACTTCCCTTCCGAAGGCGTGATCAAAGATTTTATGCCTCAGAACATTGAACCCAGGCCTGCTGGGGTGAGAGATAATCACTAGACTGATGCAAAATTTGAAATTTTCGCTCCACAGTGCTCAAACGGTTTCAAATCAGGTTTCTGATTAGCCTCCCAAAATTTAAACTCATTTGGTAAGAAACTGACGTGGCACAAACTATTTGAAGTTTATATGGAAATTACTATGGGGAAACCAAACTTTTTGTTCATTGTCTTCTACCCATTTTCCATATTCTTTTTTTAAAAATTTCTATAACCATTCTTACGGGAAATTTTCTAAGCTACAACTTTGTGGAATATTGTTTTCCAGCCAAATGTCAAATTTAATTAATTGTTTAAGAGATTGATAATCTTATCGCATGATCAAGCAGCTGTTTTGTGGACAACACTGTATTCTACAGTGTGACATAGTAGCCATGAAATTTGTGCTCTATTCTTCGCAGCAGAAAACACCAATGTTGCCTGAACAGTTGAATGAGCATAATCATAAGACATCAGTGACTTGAATCATCAATAACTTTTGTTCCTTACATTTGATTGAAAAGTGGGTTTGAACAAAGTTGTAGCTGAGGAAATTTGCTGCAATCAATGCTTTCATTTTTAAAAGCATAGTGATGTGGTGAATTGTTAGATAGATATGAACAAAAACATATGTTTTCCCATAGTAGATCCCAGTGTTTGAAGTTTTCACTGTTCACTGAATAATTCACGTGTATTTTCGTAACCGTTGGACCCCCATGTGTCAGTAAACTAGACTGATTTCCTTGTATCGGCGAGATGACGAATCATGGCACATAAAGAATAAGAGAAAATAAATCTTGCTTCATCGATGATCAAATACGTTCACACAAACGATTTACTACTGACGGTATCATCGAAAGAATCTTTATATTCGTGTTTAGCATTCTGCATGGATTGTGTGCGTTAGTTTCTGTTCATGATACATCTGCGTATCGCAGTATAACCATAGAGGTAACTCTAAGACCAGAAGGTCCCGAAGAATCGAGCTCAACTTTTTGGCTCAGCTCTGGTACTAGCTTCGGTCCCAAGCTAATCGATGCACCCCTCGAAACATAGGAAAATCCACGAACCCCTCATTTTATCTGTCAAACTTACATAGCGAATCAAAACAAACATAGTGTAGTACTGGAATTTATACTAGAATGGGGTACGTTAATTGTTTGCTTGGGACCAATAGGCTAGTCAAGTAGTGAGCCAATTTAAAATCGTTAGTTTCGTATTGATTGTTGGTATAACACTGGCGAATGGTTCATATTCAGCAACATGTAATGACACTGAATATGGATGGTCAAAGGCTGTTGGATAAAGTGAACCTTAACTTTTTACATCGAATAACGTGGGTTATTGGGGGAGATTTTGTATTGCCAGGTTCCTAATTTTGCGTATACATATATTCTTAAGAAGTATAACCATTGAAATACTATATTCCTGAAAACTTTTTCAGAGGATTTCCAACAAAATATAATGGCTAGTACCCCCCATGTTCTTGACTGGATTTTCTTAATCGGTCGGGATGTTGAGGCGTCGTCCACTGTCCATGGTGTGGATTGTGCAGGCATGTCAAAACATCATGACAACATTCCTCTCACGCCGCAAAACATGCACACGAGTGGGCACCTCGATTAATGTCAGACACCCGCTGCCCCACTACTGTGGCG